CCCCACCTTCACCTCCCCCGCAACCCCCCACCCCACCTTCAACTACCTACCTAATCAATTTGTCAGGACATAATCCAATAATGAAACAATTCTAATTATGTTTTTGTGAAAAAAAAAAAAAATTTGGTGTCAGAATTTGAATTTTTTTTGTTTGTTAAAATGTTCAAAAAAAATATTTTACGACGACGTAACGTTAAATTAATTAAAAAAGGTTAACATAAACAAAAAATGTGCACATAATCAAATTATCACATAAAATCGTAAAAACCTCAAATTTAGGGATTCTACTATAAGAACTCTCCCATTGGAGATAATATTCCTTGTGTCTCAAAAATTTCTTTTAAGTCCTTAAATGAGTACTCAAATATAGTGGTGGAAGTTCTTAAATATAGACTCACATTGAAGATGCTCTTATGTGCCCAGTCCAGCCAAACCCATTGGATCCGGTGGACACACCGATGTGGCTTCTTCTACTGATATGGATTGAAATCTTCAGGCCAAGCAGTCATTGCGGACTCTGATTCCGTTGTAATAAAACCCAAATGGACACCTTCTGGCCATGAAAAGGCCAGTTTTTAATGTTTGGGCCTTTCTGGCCCACTTTTATCCGATCCGGTGTTTGTGTCCTATGTCTAACCACCAGTCAAAACCTTGAACCACAAAAACCACCAGTCAAACCTCTACTTCTCTATCTGAAAGAGAAGTGCTAATATCTCCCTCGTGTGATCTCAACGGTTATAATTTTGTGAGTCATTTGCCAAGAATGTTTAAGATATGCCACCATATGCTCATGGTGGCATGTGTGACTGAACCTAATATTATGGACCTTTATAAAACATAGACCATATTTAAATCACGACCGCATCACAAATATAAATTGTTTGACGTAATAGATTCACTTATTACATCAATTAGTATAATCGCTTGCTAATTTACAAGAACATAGTGTATTAATGTGTGCTAACAATATGGTCATTGAGAAACTTAAAAACATGCGATAATTTGTGCGGTTTAATCTTGAGTGGCTTAACAATCCACCCCCTAAAGTGAGAACCTTATCTTATCTGAAATATGTGACGTGGTGTCTCCTCGTTGGATCTACCTGCATGCATCTACAACTAATAACTAGCTAGAACACACAGAGTAGGGAACATAAGTGACCCCTAAACCCTAGTTACCACTGAAAGACGAAAGTGATTCGGCAGATAAGATTTTGTTTTGTAATGGAGCTGTACGTACGTCATCTTTGTTTTCTCCATTCCTAAACGTGATTAAGCATCCACTAAACCTAATTGTGTTAAACTCAATGTGTTTAAGGATCTAATTATCTGTTGCTCTATACGGGACATTGAAACTTGCTCGTAGTCAATGCCTATCGGTTTTGTCATGCATGCATGCATGCATGCATGAACGCTCAGAAGATTTTTTCTGCACTTGTTGGAAACTCTATCGACATCAATTTTTGTGTTGTGTTTGATTCAATAAGGGATAAGGGCAAGACAAGAGTTGAACTCTAGCCTTCGTGTAGTGTATGTCACTCTACCACTACAGCCTAAGTTCTGGAAATCTTGAGGTGTACATAAATAATGTTTTATAAGTTTATGTCATACATACATGTCATTGTCATGAGTCGTGTTACCGACAATTGTTTACTTGCATTTGATTGAGGGCTAGTTTGGGGTTGTTGTATTTTTTTAAGATATTTTTGCAATGCTGTGAGCTGTGAAAAAAATAGGTAAGTGTTTGGTAAACTGTAGTGCTAAAAGTTCTTTTAGCAAAAAACAATATGGAGAAATGATTTGTCGATAGGAAAGTTTCATTAATTGGTGTTATTCACCTGCCTTCAATGAAAAAAAAAAACTTTATTGAGAAACATGTGTAGAGCTACTTCTTCTTTATGCTGTTTTGGACCTATGATTTCGGAAAGGAAAAAAAACACTTTATTTCATCTATCAAACACAATTAAGGCTCCAACTTTTTAAATAAATTTAAGCAACTCAAAACAAAAAAACCAGCCTTGACTTCAGTTATTTAGGCAAATCTTATATCCCACTTACATCAACAACAATTCACAATTATTAAGGCGCATGTATATAAATCTACATGATATTTCTCTATCTTATTAGTACATCAATGACTGAGAGTCACAAGTTACTTGAGCAATACCATAAATTCATAATATTGGTTGATGCAATTACTTGCAAGGCAATCTCTCTTAAATATGGACCATACGTATGCATTATGGTGGAGATGAAAAGTACACATACCTTGCATTCTTCACCACCCTATTAAGAAATTAGGTCTTTGTGCAGTATCATTCAATAATTTAGTAAGGAAATATGATTGAGGCACTTCTTATATTAAATGTGATTAGCGTAAAGCGAGCAGGACTAACATATAATAAATCTTGTACTTTTAGAAGAGCGACTTACGTGTATGATGTGGTCAAACATTCATATTCATATTTTTGTCTCAACATATTATTAGGTCCAATTCCTAGCGCCAATGAATCACGTGATGATAGTTAGAGAGAGGCTAAAACGTTTATGTGAGTATTTCAGGCTTTTAAAAAGTTGGATTACCGTGACGAAACCACCAATTAATCTCTTTTCTGAAAGAAAAAAAAAACATTTTGGAATGTTGTTACCCATTTTCCAAAATTAGGGCTTACTAAAAGTGAGTACAGTGACATCCATCAATAACCAAACTTACCAAAGTGCTTTTTCGAGAAGCAGCGTTCTCTCGTCCTCTCAGCTCGTTGGACGTGCGTCAGAAACTGCACCAGAAAGATGGTGGATGAAGGACATGGATCCTCACCGAATCCAATTGTCTTAATCCTAGGGATTAATAAATTTGAGCTATTAAAATTTGATCTAACGATTACAAATAGAAGTTTACTCTAAAATGATAATAATTTTAATCGTTAAATCAAATTTTAATGATCCGGATTCATTAATCCATAAAATTAGGACAATTGAAACCGAAAAAGATCCATGTCCACAACGGAGAGAGAAAGCGCAACCGTTTCCACCATAATAATATTTTTCATTTTCCAACTGCCAGTCTACCAGTCCCAGAAGCTAATAGGCTAGTAGCTATTATAATTAGGTGGAACTATATTGTCGACGTGTATAATTTAAACATTTATTAATTCTAAATTAAGATGACGAATGTGGTTTATTTTCTTATGGTGCCAAATTTGTACCTTATATTATTGGGAAACTTTTTTTTTTTTTTTAGTTTCTTCTGAAAGCTTCCAGTCTTTGAGCATTGTTGACTTGGTCTCCCCATTTATTATTTTATTACTAATTAACAATGTGATTTTGGCTTTGAGCATTATTGACTTAGAAAGTGGGAAAAGGATCTTCCTCGGATTCCTTTTCTAGGGAATTTAGGAATTTCGTAATCCTGATCATTCATCGTACATTGTATTATAAAAAATTATTTTAAATTTTAAAATTAAATATAAATAGTAGATAATGAAAATTAACCGTACGATATACGATGAACGGTCACGATCACAAGATCCCTAGGATTCCCATTAAAAGGAGGATCCTTTTCCTAGAAAGTGAATTTAGCTTATGCATTCAAAGTGATTTTGGCTTATGCTACTGGGTTAGAAAGTGACATGGATGTTTGTTTTTTAAATTTTAAGGGGTGTGATTTTATTTGTCTAGAGAAGAAAAATGGTTAGAGTTCACACTGTTAGAATATGTATGTGGTTTGACATTTATTGGGTTTTCCTCATACGTCACAAGTTCGAAATTTTCCATTCCCTAAATTATTATGATAGTTTCGAATTCTCTTACTTCTTTTGTTAGGATAAATTTTTCCATGTGACTAGAACACACACCTTAGCATTACAAGTGGTTTTCACCACTAATAACCTCTTAACACATGTATTCTTATAACATAAATACAATTAATTAAAAAATAAAATTAAACTGACTCCCTGTATTCCCAATCTCCAAATCACCTCCCACACCATTCTCCTCCCATGCCTCCCCCATTGGCCGACTCCTTGACGGAGACCTGCATCTTCCACCCCACCCCACCCATCCCTCCCTTTCCCACACGTTTCTCTCTCCCCTTCTTTTTCATCTCAATATTTTGTCCTCTTTCTTGTGCTCTTTCTGAGACGGACACAAGGGATGCTGAAAGACAAATCTTAAATCGGATGTCGGAGACAGCAAATCTGGGTCGACGGAGGTGGGTGGTTTTGGATAGGGTGGGGGAGAACGAGAAAGAAAGGGGGAAAGAACAAGAGGAAGAGAGAATATATGGAGTGTCACCAGTGGAATCACATAGCGGCGATGGAGGTGGGTGGTCGGCGTGGAAGGGGGTAGTCGGAGAGTTATCTGACTTCTTTCTCTTTGAACTATAGGGGTATGTTAGGAATTTTGTTTATTTAATGCTTATCATAAATATCAAAACATGACAATCTTTTTATTTCAATAATGAAATAGGCAAGTGTTAAAGATATATTGGTTGGGAACTCCAAATAAGCTAATGTGCCGGTCATCTGGAAAAATTTCTCCCTTGTTAGAATATGAATGGCCAAACTAATTAATTATACATTGTGAGATTTTACTCAAAACACATTCTTTCGTCAAAAAGTTTTCGAAACTTTTTTTTTTTTGGTATCATTCTAAGTAAATACATGTCAAATGTGAGGATATAATAAAAAGAAACAATTGATTTTACTCAAATTGATGCGGAAAATAAAAAATAGCCACGCATGATGAATAAGTGTAATTTCCGTTATGAAGTTAAAAAATAGCCACGCATGATGAACAAGGTTTATCAACATTCCACTGTGGCGCTTACAAAATATTAATTAGCATTCTAATCACAAAATATATACAAATTAATCCTCCTTCTTACTAAAAACCGAAAACAGCCCAAAAAACAAAAAACCAACTACAAAATGTGAAAGCCAAAAACCCCAAAATTAGGTTCAGTATTTCCAAGATTGTTACTATTAATTTACTTTTAACACATTAATCTTCGTTTAATCGGTCTTGAACTAGATCACAGTCGACTTTCCCGTTTCCGTTACCGCTACCGTCACCTTGCCATGTCCATACAATGTCCTTCAATGCTGGCCTAACATCTTCCTCACAAAACTTGGCATACTCCAAAGTATCCCCGGACGACTTCGTAAACTGCACCACCGCCACCTCCGGCGCCACCTCGAACACCTCCGCGGTCACCGAAAGCCGCCCTTTTCGCCCTTCATTCGGCCCTTGCATCCTTATTTTGAAGTCCTTCACTTTCGCCACTTTAAAGCTCAGCCCCTTTGCCGCCGCCTCGATCTTTGCCATGATCGCCGCAGCCGAGCACTTGGACGTGAACACGGACCCGGCCTTCCGCTTCTTCTCGAACAAATTCGACAAGTCAAACCCGGACGACATCGAAGAAATAAACTCAAATGCATTGAAGAACTTCGGAGAGTCGCTCCCGTCGGACTTTTCATCAACACCTTCCGTGGGTTCCGTGACCTCCTCCTGTTTCTTCATCCCCTTGCGAAACCACGGCGTGCGCATGATCGCCGGAATGGTGATTCGCTTCTCCGGGTCGGAAACCAACATTTTCGAGATCAACCGCTTCGCCTCCGTTGAAAACCACGGTGGACATTCAAACTCCGCCTTGAAAACCTTCCTGTACATGTTCATCAGATTCTCTTCCTGGAACGGCAGAAACCCAGCCAGCAAAACGAACAGCACAACTCCGCACGACCAGATATCCGCCTTAGATCCGTCGTACCCCTTCTTCCTCAGCACCTCCGGCGCCACGTAAGCAGGAGTCCCACACTGGGTGTGCAGAAGCCCGTCGTTCCGGAGCTGCTCCGGCAGAGCGGAGAGTCCGAAGTCGGAGATTTTCAGATCCTCGTTTTCGTCGAGCAACAGATTCTCCGGCTTCAAATCGCGGTGGGAGACGCCCCTGCTGTGGCAGAAATCGACGGCGGAGATCAGCTGCTGGAAGTACTTCCGGGCCTGATCCTCCTTCAGCTTCCCCTTCGCCACCTTAGCGAAGAGCTCGCCGCCCCTGACGTACTCCATAACGAAGAAGATCTTGGTCTTGGTCGCCATGACTTCTTTCAGCTCCACGACGTTCGGGTGGCGGACTAAACGCATCACTTCGATTTCCCGCTTGATCTGCTCCATCATCCCTTCCTTCCTCACCTGGTCCTTGCTGATCACCTTAATCGCCACGCTCTCGTTCGTCGCGATTTGTCTGCCGTGGTAGACCTTCGCGAAGGTCCCCTTGCCCAGCAGCTTCCCCACCTCGTACTTCCCGAAAAGCACTGTCCTTTCCTCCATTGACGCTGGGAAATTAGGTATTGGGAGTACGATGCTCTTTCGTCAAAGAGTTGTATTCGCGGAATTGTCGACTCACCAACCGCGATTAAACAAATTATTTGAGTTGTCTAATTGAGATTTGGTGAGAAATATTGAAACTAAAGAGGGGACTTGAGATGGGTTTTGGTTAATTTGGGGAGTTGGGCTCATGGTACGAATGGCTGAGATACTGATCCGAGTGGATTCCATTCGAGGGGTTTAAAGACTAGAGGGAGGTTTGGATTTGGAGAGAGAGAGAGGAGGCGAGACAGAAGGATGGTTGGCATGACGCCATTGGAGCACCTGGTATTTTCTGTCAGAACGGGGACTACGCACACAGAATCATGTTTTCACAAGGGCTTGTGGTGAGCAAGATTACAGAAACAAGTGGACAAGTTTTATTGGTCCAGAAATAACAAAACCTAATATTTCTCCGATTTTAATAAGGGAACTTTAACGAAAAGCACCCAGTACTGTTTACTTTAACCAAAAACCACATTTTTACACTAAAAAAGCAATACTGGTACTATTCACTTTACCCTTTATTTTGTCCTTATCATTAAAACTCAAAGTTTTCAAGCCCTTTTCATTAGTTTTCCTTTTTAATAATTGACAAGTGTGGTGCCACACTTACCATCTACTTATACCATCATTTGTACCATATCTCTATAGAGATAAATCCGCTAACGCATATGTGTCTCATTTTTATTAGAGAAATGTTACAAATTATAATATAACTAGATGGTACAAAGACGAGATACGACCCAAATCCTCTAAAACAATAACCAATAATTTTTTTTTTTTTGACAAAATGATAGGATACTATAGACTAAACTATGGGGAGGGGGATTTGACTACAAGATCTCTGGTGCATAGGCGAATGCTCATAATCAATTGAGCTATAAGTCACTTCCTAATAACCAATAATTTCACTATGTAATTTTTTAAGCATTTGTTCATCTTTTAATTAGGGTAGTACTATAAACACCCACACCACATTTACTTCTCACACCTTTTTTAATTTTCAGCCGTTGAATTAAATAAATTGAAGAGGATTAATGGTAAAATATTAATAAGAGTGTGCGAAAACTAAAAGTGAGTGCATGAATAAACTGCCCACACCACTTTTCAATAGTTTTCCTTTTATTTATTTGAAAAGTAAGTTGAAACAAGAATTTTCTCGATTGATGAATAATCAAAACTAAATAAAGAAGATATATTAATCAAATATTGACAATATTATTGCTCAAATATCAAAATCATGAAAAGTAACCCTTACCCAAAAATCATAGCCACAAAAAAAGCAACAAAAATAAATATATAATTTAGGTAAAAAAAAACAAAGAGAAAAATTAAGAAAATAAAAACCAAATCCAATAAATCTACTGCGATTGCGTCAAATACCAAAAATTGCTAGACCAACTTAACCTTGAAATAGATATCACTTAACTTTCTGTATTAAGAAAACAGAAAGATTGCTAGACCAACTTAGCATACATTCTAGTTTTTCTTTTTATCTTTTTCCTAAACAAACGATATTATCTATACTAACGGGAATGGGGTGAGTTTAACCTCACAATGGGCTACCAATAATATGGTTCAAATTCGCATTTAGCAAGAATTGAACCTAAGACCTCTCACTTACAGGTGAAAAGAAATACCATTAGATCATAGTACTAAGTGACATTCTAATTTCTATAATTATATTAACAAAACAATTTTGGGTTCTCTCCTTTCTCATTTTCACTTTCTTCTAGTCCCCTTTCATTTAAATGCTCACGATTAAGCCACGCCAACACAAGATATTGACTTATTGTATCGACTTCTTTATATAGAGAGACAGAGAGAAAAGTGAAAGAGAAGGGAAGGAGGGGAGGGGATTTAGAGGAAAGAGACTCCTACTCAAAAACAAAACAGCTCTCTTTTGAATTTCTATGTATTTCTATATTTATTTATAGCCTTTATAAAGACTTTCTGTGTAAGAAACAAATATAAAATAGAGGAAATCAATAAAAAAAGTAAGGCAATGTTAAGAAGACTAAAGTTTTTAGAATAATAGTTAGGTACTACCGTACTGGTGAGTCAATAGAAAATTGATCGATCTGATTTGAGGTTTGAGGGATGGATGAGCAGAAGGATAGCAGACAGAAAATTGGAAGAGGAGGGCTGCAAAGAGATAATGGATGATATTTGGCTATGGCCGACTCTGGTACATGGAACGAATAAGGGCAGGATGCACGACGGGCTGGTGGCAGAGGACGATGGCTGGAGATAGAAGGAGATAGATGACTGGGTAATTTTTCGGTTAAGGGAGAAGAAGCATGTTTGGTTATGACATCCATTTATTTTCCCACCGCCACTTAATTCTTGTGCATTACTTCAGTTTTTTATTTATTTAATTTTTTTTTTAGTACATCGATATTTTCACACTATAGAGAGGGGGAGTTCGGTTAAGCCAGACAATAGGCAATCTAATTTGGTATCAAATTCGCCTTTCATAAGATTTGAACTTAAAACCTCTCAATTCTAAGCGAAAAGGAATATCACCAGACCTTAGTACTGAGTAACTACTGCAGCTTTTGTATATGAAAAATATCTTTGCCAAGATTTTTCTTTCTAATAAATATAAAATTAAAAATTTCAAACAAGTTGGTGCCGACCTAGAAAAACTCTCTTGCAAGTTATGAAGGGAGTTTCGAACTTTATAACCAACAATAAGTTGCTTCCTAAACACTATTTGATTAGTATTATTAGTGATATAGACTCATTTGCTTGGTCAAAGTGTTATCATAATACGACGCAGTAACGAGTGGAAGAGTTGACTTTTGCATAAGAAATTCAAAATCAAATAGGGTTTCCCAAATTCGAATTGTCGTATTTATTTTTGTTCTCCAGATCAAAAGTCTAGTCTCCCACAAGTGGTGGACAAGTTGCACAGATTTTATGCCTAATCAAAAGTTAAACCACCTCTTGCGTTGGGAATCAAGTAAAAAACTTAGGGTTTGATTATCTCTTACGTAAATATAAGAAATCGTGCATAAGAAAACACTCCCTAATATAAGCAACGAAAAACACTTTACAACGGGATCTTGATTTGCAAATGTGAGAGAGTTGATCTTTCAGTGAGTTGGTATATCACATCATATGTTATTATACAAATGATGAAAAACTTGAAAAATAAAACTTTCATCCAATTTTTGTTTTTAACAAACGAAATATCATCTACATTGTTGATGCACAAAACCGGAGAGGTCTTGGAACAACGTAAATCCGACCGTGAATCTGCAAGAAAGTAAATAACACAAGATGTATCGTGGTTCACCCCAATGTTTGGGCTACGTCCACACTGATATTGTATTTCTCTGAGATGTTAAAGAAGATTGTGAGGGTGAGAGCCATGCTCTGAATATGAGAGGCTTTGAGAGGGTGATGGGGCTTGAGGTTTGTAAGGGTGAGGGGGCCTTTTATAGAATAAGGGCTCATCACTTATTACATATTTGCCCCTCTATTTATTACATAATTACATTTAAGTCCCCCGAGTATTTATACGAGATCTAAATACGGAGACCCTAAGTATGGTACAAACAGTAGTCCCCCAAGTCTTCAGTCAAGAGAGTCATTTGGCTGGAGACTCGAAATTTAGTCCATGCGTGGGCCGAAGTAATTAGATATCGTCTAAACCTGATACTCGATATGAGGCAGTGCCCAATCTGAAATGATGCTCAACTCGAAGTAGCACATATTGCGAGGCTGCTCTGGTTATGGCTTATGTTGCCTTGGTTAGCTCGGCTTGTGGCGTTGAAGGTGATGGAGTCCTTTTTATAGAATAAGGGCTCGCTCCTCAATACATGAATGATGGGCTAGAGTTGATGCTCGCGGCGAGGCGGTTGCTCAGCAGGCGGTGATACTCTCTAATGATGGTGAAGGGGTCCCTTTTATAAAATAAGGGTTCGCTCCTCAGTACATGAAGAATGGGTGCTCTATAATGAAAGTGAGGGAGTCCCTTTTATAGAATAAGGGCTCGCTCCTCAGTACATAAATAATGGGCTAAGTCCCCCAAGTATTGTTTATGATGCCCAATATATGGTACATAGTGTAGTCCCCAAAGTCTTCAGTCAATAGAGTCTGTTGGCTGGAGACTTCAAATTGAATCCATGTATGGGCCGAAGTGGCAATTGTTCGGATGCGGTATTTGTATACCCTGCACTGAAGCTTTGCAGGTGAAGCTTTGCAAGTGAAGTTTTAAAGTTAGAGCTATGTAAATGAAGTTTTCGAAGTTGAAGCTTTGTAAATGAAGCTTTCGAAGCTAGAGCTCTGTAAATGAAGCTTTTGAAGCTAGAGCTTTTATAAATGAAGCTTTTGAAGCTAGAGCTCTGTAAATGAAGCTTTTGAAGCTGATTGACATGAGTGATGCTCATGAATGTTTATGTTGATTGACATGAGTGATGCTCATGAATGTTTATGTATGATTGATATGAGCGATGCTCATGAATGATTTTGGAGTACTAGGCGTACTTTTGATCACCTGGTTGGTGATAATAGCGGTAGGCTGCCGAATAATTTTGGAGTACTGGACGTACTTTTGATCACCTGGTTGGTGGTAATAGCGGCAGGTTGCCTAATAATTTTGGAGTACTGAGCATACTTTTGATCACCTGGTTGGTGATAATAGCGGCAGGGTGCCGAATACATTTGGAGCCATAGGGCCTGACTCTTTTGGGCATAGGGGCCTTCGCCCTCAACATAACATTCCAGCCCATTACGTTGGGCTTGCCGTTTTTTTTAAATTATAATTACCCTCTGATAGGGTTTATACAGATGTCTCCGAAAGATAAGAAAAATAAATTACATCATTGAAAAATAAATCTGATCCTCTGCTCAATGGGTCATGCCCATAATTCTCTTTTCTGCATGCCATCACCACCGCAACTATGTTTGTTTTTTTTTTCTTTTGCTTTTTGCTTTTCTTGATGCTTTTCTTGATCTCCCCGCTCATTCTCTGTCCACCCATGTTGTTTTGTAAGGTATCTTTTGCTTGCAAACCCACTTGCTTTTCTTGGACAGCCTGGTCGTGCCCATCCATTCTCACTTTTTTTTTTCTTTTTCTTTTTGCTTTTGCTCTCTCTGTTCACTGCATGTTCTCCTGCGTGAAGTTATCATTGGAAAGCTGGGAGATTGGGACATTGAGGGCAGCTTCATGGGCAGTGAGCTTAGCTTCGTCTTGGCGGACCCATTGTTCCAATAAAAATAATTACCTTCTGATGGGCTGTTAATAATCATACCCAGAGATGCGGCTGCCCTTCCTTCTCAGCGACCTATTCTTCTTGGTGGAGAGACCAACGACCTCTTCTTCGGTTGGCGGACCCATCGGTTCTCCAGCGGAGGATCTCTGACGCCGGAGCTTCACACCGACCGATTCGTTTCTGCGCGAGCGGGAGACGGTGTCCGTCGGGGAATGCAAGAGGCAGTACTGCGAGGAGTCGGCGATTTGGGACAATACTAACATCTAGGATTTTGAAGGATTTTGGACCGTTTGATCGAGCTCGAGAAACAGATCCTTCGCCTCTCTGCAAATTTTGAGCTCAGCTCTCTGAAATCTTCAAACCATTTATGGGTTTTTAGAGAGAGTTGATGATGTTTCCGGAGCTGGGCGAAGTTTGGCAGGGAATCATCGTAGTTGAGTATCATCTTGAGGTCGCTGTCACCGTCGCCTCGAACATATCTCTGAGACCCACTGCCTCTTCCTTGATCTTGTCCCGGGGTACAATATCCACCAAGAAATCGAATATGTCGGTGCGGGTAATGGCAGCGGCAATGTCATTTTCTGGAGAGCCTGGCGTTTGCTCTCCTCCGCGTGGAGCCAAGAGCGGATGGTGAGCTCGGGGATGAAGAAATCGCATGCCTTGGCAAAGAGGACAGGGGCCTCGGAGAAGATCACACGGACGTCCTCGTCGGCCTTCATGATCTTCTTGATTCGGGCGAGGGGGAGCTGGTGATGATGATTTATGTGATGTGGGAAGTGTGGGAACATCAGCTACCAACATCATTCAATACACCTTTTTCTTCCCCCATATTGATCTCGATCTCAGAAAATTGGGGGGAGAGAGAAAGAGAGAGAGCTAGAGTATGTTGGCTTTGGATCTTGGGTTTTTACAGATTTTGTAGATTCACGATAGAGGTGAAAAAATGAAAGAGAACCGACATAGTTTTTCGTGTCGATTCTCACAGACGGCGCCAAATATTGATGCACAAAACCGGATGGGTCTTGGAACAACGTAAATCCGACCGTGAATCTGCAAGAAAGTAAATAACACAAGATGTATCGTGGTTCACCCCAATGTTTAGGCTACGTCCACACTGATATTGTATTTCTCTGAGATGTTGAAGAAGATTGTGAGGGTGAGAGCCCTACTCTGAATATGAGAGGCTTTGAGAGGGTGAGGGGGCTTGAGGTTTGTGAGGGTGAGTGGGCCCTTTTATAGAATAAGGGCTCATCACTTATTACATATTTGCTCCTATATTTATTACATAATTACATTTAAGTCCTCCGAGTATTTATACGAGATCTGAATACGAAGGCCCTAAGTATGGTACAAACATACATCAAGGGGAATGGATGAGTTTAGCCTCATAATTGTATAATGCCATATATGTGGTGTACCCTGTTTTCCGAGCATAATGAAAAATCTCTTGGAGTTGAGGACGGGTTAGGTATTTTGCAAAATGGTTCAGATATCGAATACCTTCACTGATACTTCAATGTGTATAGTTCAAGTACAATACTATATAAGAGAATACAATCTCAATAAAATCCTGAAGACTTCAACCTGACTAAGAAAAAAGAGTATTACGTCTCAATTGCAACAATTTTAGTTTAATAAAAAACACAACAATCTTTCGTGAATAAATCGGAAATCATATTCGCTGGCTCCACAAACGACGTGAGATTAGTAATTCGTGTTTGATTGTCAATAAAAATAGGTCAGGTACATTTTTCTTGTTTTTGCTTAATAAAAAAAGAAAAGAAATAGAGACGAGCATGTTGGAGAATAAGATGGGTGTTGCTATATATACACTCATTTTTACCTCTCATGTACTTTTTGTTAATTTATGTTCTTTGATCTTCTTCAATTCATTCGATTCGACAGCTGAAAATTAAGAAGAATGTGTGAAAAGTAAAAATAAGTGTATAGATATCAACACTAAAAAAGATTGTATAGACAAGCTTGAGTGGAAATATAAGATATTCTAATTGCATCATTGGGACCTGCCATGGGTTTGTTCTTTTCTTGGTCTTCTTTCTCTAGCTGCATCATCTTCCATTTATAAATCATAATTAAATTACAAGAATTATGCATCTTAATTTATCCAACGGCTGGAAAACTCTACAAAGAAAGTAAGAGCTTCTGGAGACCACACGATCATCTTGAATTATTCACTTATGGCCCCATAAAACAATATATTGACCTTCTGGTCCCATAAACCAGACAATTTCCAATACTTAATCACATGTCATTTGAAAGAAAGAACATCGCAACAAACACATCTTAAGCGATGCATGAACTTGATTAATTAAAGCAGCTTTAGCAAAAACTAATTGATCATCTCTTTATTTCATACACAAAATAAACGTTATAATATAGACACTAAGTGACGATGGAGCTTTATTTGGAAGCTGCATCTTCCTCCTAAAGTGCTCTCTTTTCTTTGGCTTTTGTTGCTAGACGGCCGGGGTTGGGTATGGATTCTTCATGCAGTAGTTGTGATGGTGCTTTTGAATCAATTATTTATGTCTTTAGAGATTGTTCATTTGCTACTAAGATTTAGAAAAGTTATCCCGTTCCTAATCAGTTTTATACTGATGCATTTACTAATAATTGATTCAAATATAATCTCTTTCATAATATTAGTCTTGAACAATTTGGAATTGAGACTTAGTTTTTGTATGCCTTGTTGATTCTTGTGGCATTGGCGAAACAAAACTATTTTTGAACAGGATTTTGCTCTCCCAAATGATCCCAAATCAGTTATTATTGAAAGATTGGCTTCATGCAAGTATGGCTTCCTCCATGAAGTCTCTTTTGAACACATGCTTTTTTTTTTTATTAGGAACCTACTCCTAAGGATTAGGTAAAGCTTAATATTGATAGATGCCGTAAGGGTGACCTCATTGGTGCTGGTAGTGTCCTCAGAAACTCGTCAGGGGCATGGGACTCTGGTTTTTTGTGCTAATCTTGGTTGATGTGAGATTTTATGTATTGAAGCTGCCGCCGGGGGGGGGGGGGTGGTTATTGGGCTGCACTCAAGTGGAATAATGGAATCAAGAAGATTATGGTGGAATCAGATACTGCATTTGCAATACAATTGACTTTAAATGCAAAAGTGGATAATCACTTTGTGGGAAGTTTAGCATGCCGTGTTCTTTTGCACCAAAATTGATCTTGTGAAATTGGCACATTTACTGTGAAAGAATTTTGTTGTTGATGATTTGGCTCGTTGGGGTTTTTCATGCAGTTTGGGTTAAATTTTTTTTTTTTTTTTTTGAACAAGCTCCTTCTTCTTGTCGTCGGTTGTTAGTTACAAATGTAGTTGAGGTCTCATAACCTCGTAAAATTCTTATGTCGTCTTTCTTTTTCTTTTGAGCTTATGCACCGCCAATAAAAGTGTTGTGCCTGTTAAAGATTCATAATAATATATCTTTTCATTTTTTGAGCTAATAAATAAGTATATCTATATATTATAAAAATATATCTTTTTATTTTTTGAGCTAACAAATAAGATTATCTATATATTATTTTGTTATGTACTTTTGTAAAAGAACTTAGCATGCGTCGGTGGACGGACTAACAATACAACCCGGCCCCATGCAGGAGCCAAAATATCGTTCGGGTTGGTCAGTGGATACTGCATGTATACGTAGGAGAAACATGCTCGTTCTATACAAATATCTTCATCGTATAAACTGCGTAATCAAAATTGTTTATATTCCTAATTTTTATTTGAAGATCAACCTTACAAAAAAGTATTCTAATCTAAGATCATTTAGTCGTCTAAATGTATTATATAAATGGGAACTGTTCATCATGTATATGTTAGTTGATGCTTATACTGTCAATTTGTTCTATACATTTGGATAACTAAATAATTTTCAATTCAAATGATTTTTTATAGGGATAATCTTCATATAAAGATTGAGAAATTGAACGATTGTAAATTTTTAGTTAATGCAGTTAATATACACGATTCGAAGGAAGAGAGCTATGTGCATTCACCATGAAGAGAACGCAAGTATTCCATATATGTAATTATCCTTGTAAAAGGATGAAGAGAGTTTGAACTCAAGACGTAGTGAGTTGAGAGAATGATGTTCATTCTCATTCGTCAATGGGTCACATTCCTCATTCCGAAAAACAAGGCCCAGCCCAATTTAGTATCAAACCAATTGCAAGTTGATTTGGCCCAACTAACGGAAAATTACAAGAGTTGTGAGCCCGAAACCCACAACGACTTCGGATCGTTGATTCGAGAAATTGTGGGCCCTGAGGCCCAGCGACGACAAAAACCGGGGATTTTGAAGGGCAGGACGAGACGAGAGGGACTGAGTCGCTGAGGGGTTTTCCGTTCACAGTTTCGAACAGGGAGAAACTGCGATTGCAAAAAGCGGTGGCGGAGATGTCTGAAGCGGTGGACGACGAGAGCGTGCGGAAGTTCGTGGCGGCTTACTTGAAGAAGAAAGGCTTCAAGCAGGCGGAGAACGCTTTTCAAGAAGAACTAAACAAGAATACCAACAGCTCTTCGTCCCCGATCTCTTTCAATTCCCAATTGGACCCCGACGTCGCCAAGCACATCCTCTCCTTCTCCCAGTAATCTCTCTCTCCTCCTTCTCTCTCTCTTGTTTTTCTCGCACTTCCTTTTTGTATTTGTTGTTGATTTTTGGGTTCTAAGGGTTATTTGTGATGCTTGCGGGGTTTAGCTGCAATTTTGATTTTATGGTCCTGATGTATGGAAATTTGAACTTAGGAGCCGAGTTCTTAGTATTTCTCAGTGGAATTTCGATTGGTTTTAGTGGGGTGAGTTTCGGACTTTGGCATTACTAGAATTGGGAATTTCAGAGAGCTAAGAACTAGTTTCCTGTAGGTTAATCGCATTGTTGAGATCTGTTCAGTATGAAGGTCTCCGGATATTATGAAATTAGCGTGTCTTGAGTTGAGTATATTCTGTATGGAACAATGGAATTTCGATTGGTGTTTTAGTGGGGGGAGCTTGGAACTTTAGCATGAGTAGAATTGAGAACGTTGGAGAGCTGAGAACTAGTTCCCGGAAGGATAAAAGCATGGGCAATATTGGCTCAGTACTAATAAATTGGGTGTTGAGGTCAATGTTGTACAGTATATGTATGGAAACTGTACGAAAAAGAAGATTATAGTATGGATGTCGAATCATTATTCGATTGATTATGCACTTCAACGTCAGTGTTTCTAAGACGATGGGCAAATCTGAAATAGAAGCATTCGTTTTTCGTGGACACGTATATGCTTATGTTTCTGTTTGTTCATTCTAGTGTTTTTTATTCGAGGTTGCTTTTAATTCCTTAGTTGGCATTCTTTGTTTTACAGATACGAGGAAGGTCCAGCACAGTATCAAGATGGATATGCCAAGTTGAGATCATGGACTTACAGTTCACTAGATTTGTACAGGGTAACTTACTTTTTTGAGTTAATTTTTCTATGGATTTTATTTCTTATACTTTAAGGTTTTATATTTTCTGCATATTAAAAAATGGCCTTATTTATATATGCAGCATGAGTTGCTTCGTGTTCTCTATCCTGTATTTATTCATTGTTTCATGGATCTGGTTGCTAAAGGTCATATACAAGAAGGTATATCTCTTACTTCTTGCCATGTATCATATAGTTTTATGTGATTATCATTGATATCTTACTCTGTTCTTTGTAACTACTGGTCAATGAGTGAACACCTGTTCTTTGTTCATGTTACCAGCTCGGACATTTTTCAATAGCTTCCGTGAAGACCATGAAATGATGCACCTACGAGATCTACAGAAGTTGGAAGGCGTTCTTTCTCCCTCTCATTTGGAGGTGTTTACTCCCAGAACACTCTCATTAATGCATTTTTTATTAATGATTACATCAACACCTTAAAAAAATTTCTCATATTTCTGTTGTTACTCAGGAGATGGAATTTGCTCATTCTCTTAGGCAGAGCAAAGTCAACATAAAGATATGCCAGGTAATATTCTGGTTCTTCTTTTAGTTATTTATGTAGGCTTTGTATATATATAGCTGAACAACATATTTTTGGGTCAATTATCTTTCCAGTACTCGTATGAGCTTCTGCTGCAGTTTCTACACAAGTCACAATCCACCACAGTGCTTGGGATTATCAATGAGCATATTAACTTCCAAGGTATATTGGTTTGACTTGTGGTTGAAAGGGTGATATGCTGCATAACAAAATATCTAATGTTTAAATTGCTTCTGTAGTTTCTCCTGGACAACCCAGCTCAATTTCCGAAGATGCTGAGGCTGTAACACTTACCGGAAGTAGCCTGGATTCAGCTAATCAGATAAACCAAAAGGAAATACACTGGGGGGTGAGTCAAGAATGCTGATGAGTTTCTATATAGTGTGTATGTCAAACTGGTTCTAGTGCTTATTTGAATTTCTCTGCTGAAAATGAATAAACTTACGTTTGGAAGCTGCATGAAGATTTTTCAAGAATTTTTAATATTACTCATTTTGGTGCATATTGGAAGTATCTTCTTGCTTTTAGAAAGATAAAGGTTCTTTTGCTTTTGCATTTTCGATTAACATGTTACCCAAAGCTACGGGTTTATATTTTAATAATCACTTAAAAATATGTTTATTGAAATAAGGCAAGTTTTGTGTAAAACATGCAGACACGTGTGTACTTCCTGACTTTATATGTCACTCATATTTTTTTTGTAGTTGCTCGAAGATTCCTTTGAAGAACGCTTGGAAAAGGCTGGGGCCTTAGACTCTGAAAAAGCAGAAGGAGAAAGCAAAGAAGGGGATGGGGATGAGAATAAGGTGCAAATATGTTTTGAAATGCTGTAACAACTTCATAGCTTCAAAGTACAATTACTGAAGTAATGTGTTTGTAACTATGGACTGGATACCATTGACTTTTTCATCTGTTTTTTTTTTTTTTTTTTTTTTCAGAAAAAATCAAGTGAAGGAGCTAAACAGGGGGCTTCAAACAAAAAGTTGAAAAAGGACAAGGCTTCTGGTGCAACGGCGAAAACTGCACGCCCTGAGGCAACCCCTGTAACTGCAGTACCAAGAGTCAAACCAGAGCTTACTCTGCCAGTAATGTAGTTTCTGGGATCCCTTCCCCCCCTTTCATTTGACTTTGGATGTAGCTAATATTAGAAACTGTATGTTGAGATAAAAAATAGTATTGGTTCCTAATTGTTTAAATGAGTCTTATTAAATTTAAACTAGAAGTCCATAAAGTTGGGATCAATTGGAGCAGAGAGCTTGAGTTTTATGAAGAATTTTCAGTTCCATGAAAAGCTGTTACGTAGATCAAAAGGGAGTTGATTTTGTCAGCTACCAGTACGCAAAGTTGATTGATTTTATTAACTGACAGATAGTAATTTGAACGTGGATTCATTAGATACTTTTGTTAAGTGAAGCCTTTCGCTGCATGTCTGTTCAGGGTCTGGGTATAGGAAATTGTTAGTCCATGCTTGAGATCCAATGCAGGTTACTTACTAATCTTTTGTTGATTCCTTCAGTCCCACAGAGGTTGAACAGTCAATCTTTGAAGACTTGAGAAACCGTGTGCAATTGAGTAGTGCTGCACTGCCATCTGTCAGCTTTTATACATTCATCAACACACACAATGGGTAATTCCCTTAACTGTCTCTGACCAACACTGGGTTCCATTTTATACTCCATTACTTATCTTTTTGTTCAACAATTTGCCAGTTTAAACTGTTCGTCTATATCCCATGATGGATCCATGGTTGCTGGTGGATTTTCAGACTCGTCGCTGAAGGTTTCATCTTATCTTATTACTTCCTTGTTGTGCATATTGCTCTCCAAGTGTGTGTTAATATTGAAGCATTCTTCAACAGGTATGGGATATGGCAAAGATTGGGCAACAAGGCCTTGATTGTAAGTCTCATAGTAGTTTTTGTGTGACGATTTTTTTTTCTTGTTCGTGAAATATGCAAATATGCAATTATATTGAACTATGCTTGTGCAGCAGCGTTGCAGGGTGAGAATGGTACCACCACTTCAAGTGAACAAGTTTTGTCAAATGGTGGAAAAAAACCATATACCTTGTTTCAGGGTCATTCAGGGCCAGTTTATTCAGCTACATTCAATCCCCTTGGGGATTTTATACTCTCCTCTTCAGCAGACTCAACTGGTATGCTGTCTAAGCTGTTATATATCTCTCTCCCCCTCCCCCTCTCCTTGCCCCATTCCCTCTCTCATACCAATAGACTAGTCGATAACAGTAAGAAACTCCATTGCTATGCTGCAGTTCGGTTGTGGAGCACAAAATTAAATGCAAATCTTGTTTGCTACAAGGGTCATAATTACCCAGTATGGGATGTTCAGGTATATCTGGTTGAACTTGACATAAACGCAGTAAACTCACGTTTTCTAGCAACAGATTTTAAATCTTGACTTTTGGTCGCATGGGGTTCTACTCTAATGGGAGAGGTTGTCTTATGCAGTTTAGCCCTGTTGGTCATTATTTTGCCAGTGCTTCACACGATCGAACAGCAAGGATTTGGTCTATGGACAGAATACAGCCTTTGAGAATAATGGCTGGGCACTTATCTGATGTTGATGTCAGTAACTCTCTCTCTCTCTCTCTCTCTCTCTCTCTCTCTCTTTATGTCTGCAACTGTATTGTTGTATATTTGAAGATGTTCAGTTTTTTATAGAATTACTGCCTCTGTAATCCATGCAACCAAATTCTAATGTGTGGATTTTTTTTGTTTTGTTTTAGTGTGTGCAATGGCATGCCAACTGCAACTACATTGCTA